TATATATATAATATGAATTATTCTACTATTCTAACCATTTAACTTTGTCACTCATGTATTCATCAACAGATAGAATTAACGAACAATTATGCCTTCATAAAAGTTAAAAGAGAAACTGAATAACCTGAAAGACGGACAGTCCATTAATCCATGCTACAAATCTAGACAATGTTGTTTTGCCTGATCCAGAAGTGCCAATTAACAAAAGATGACCTTGCGGCTGTCGATAAATACGATCAATACGTAATACGTGGTCAAGCATTTGATCGAATAGCACTAATTGAACATCAAGCTCTTCTTCATAGAAACTTTTCAAACGTGCCGTAACATATTCTTTCAGCTGCTCCTTCGACACCGGTAAATAATGTTTCGTTAACCTAAAATAATGGTACACATAAAACATAAAAGAATTATGTTATGATATATTCCTACAAAACAATAAATTTTTTTTACGCTTGCAACTGGAGATGTTAAGGATTAAATTAAAAGACCTACCAACATGAATAAAGCATGGGTCTTTCCAGAGCCTGCTTCAGATCACAAGAAGTACCAAAGTACTTTTCAGCGGTAGTATCAAGCAAGTGATCAGTCCACTCACGTTCATCATCACAGACAAGTCGGTCTTGGAAAAGACGTAACGCTTCATGTGCCCATAATCTGACCAGCGCCTCTGGACTAACGCTATCAAGTGGGGTGATCGCTTCACTAATAGCACGCACCCATCGTGTTAATTCACGAGGGGAGTAAATATAATGAGGTTGATCGTCTTGTGTGAAATGTTCCTTAAAAAAATTGAAAAATTCAAGGCGTACATCTAAAAATCTATTCGCCCTGAAATAAAATTATTCTATAAAATATCGAGTTTCTCAAATCTAACCGAACGTCCTAAATAAATTAAAACAGAAATGATACAAATTTTAAGCTTACCTGAGATTGTAGATAGAAATCAACCATTGCATTTGTCAGTGGATCTGCGAAGCTACGTACCGAAGGAGCCATACGCAACATTGCCCGATTGAAAGTTCCATAAATTTGCAGAAGTGATGTTTGGCCGGGATAATCCACGTATACTACAGGAACATGGCGCAAGAAACGTAACGAAAGTGGATGTCGTCCAGGATCGGTAGGCGGATTGCAAGCACCAACAAATTGGATGCGCTCCAAAGATACCCATGTTTGATCAGATGCACGATAGAAACCATTCTAAACATTTTTGTTTGTCTGCTTCTATCAACTTAGTTTCTTCATTAATATTTTCTAAATATATTTACCATTTCGACCAGCTGGCGCAAGAACGAGATAACACGCTGGGTGCCATATTTGTCAGGTGATGGCAGATTAATCTCATCGCAGAATATGACCAGCCATCTTGAAATCTGTACTGGTGAGAGAACGACACCGTTCGGTGTGCGGCGATATTCGCAGTAATGATCAAATGTGCGCATCAGTAACTCAGGAGTGGTAGATGAAGAGAAGTTAACATTTACAACATCCATATCCTGACAGAAACGAATAAATTCCAGACGACCAAAAACAAGAAATAGTTTAGGCCTTCGAACAACATTTACTTAAAGCTTAAATATTTTTGGTTTTCCTTATCTGAATTTAGGGACATCTTCCTCCAACTCATTTACGAATGCCATATTTTCCATATTTATAGGAACCTCTCCAAACAGTTAATAATTAAAGACAATATTTATTCATTAACAAAATTCAATTTGAATGATATACCTGCAACGAACGAAGAGCAGAAAGAAGAGTCATTGTTTTTCCAGAACCTGGTGGACCACAAAGTACCAATGGTTTGTGCTCCGAAAGCCAGGTATTCAGAAGCATTTCATGTCGCATAGTATCTACTGTAGGTATAACCAAATCAGCAGCAGCGACACGATGTGTTTCTACTTCCATCTGAGGCACTTTAGAAACCCACTGCACCCATTCGCCGGAGAAAGCTGCTTCATAATCAATGATTGGTAACTAAAAAAACAGTAAAATAATTGTACTGATGATAATACAACGAAAAAAAAAAACAAATTGAATGATATACTTGAAAATAGTAGTACATCTATTGAAGTTTATATATAATATATATAAAGTTTTCTATCTTTGCACTCAAAGTATAAGAAATTGATGACCGCGTTCAATCATTTAATTAAAAAGATTTAAAACTCGAAATTACCGCGGTGTTTGGTGGCAATAAAAGAGTGGATGACTGACGCATAAAATCGCTCAATTGCTGACGAGATTTCCATTTGCTGTCACCACTGAATGCCCAAACAATGTTTACAAGCATTGAACGTGATATATAAGCTTCAATTTGATCATCCTGAAATAATTCTTTATAATTCCCAAATAAAATATCTGAATTCATCTGACCTAAAGAAGGCCAAACGAAACTTAATTGGAAATTATTGCAAATCAATGGAAAAATTAAGTTAAAAAAGGAAATTAAATATTGCCTGCATAGGAAAATCAGGATGAGCGTTGTCGTAGTTGATGAGCTGTCGAACAGTGTAATTCATCATCGAAAAGAATGAAGATATCATTCTTTGCTGAGTTGGTACCATAATGTGATCAAGTTCTGTTAGCGCATACTTCAAGGTCAATGGAACAAGCGCATCAGCACTCATATGTTGTGTTAAATAATGGGCACATTTTCGTTGCAAGTTTATTATGCGTTCAGCTTCTGGTGTTACTGCGCCTTCTTCTGACCCGTTCAAAGACAACAGATCAACCTTCAATTTCATTTAAATAAAAATCCTATATTTTACCATCTACTTTCATTCGCAGTTTTCTATAGCATTCACAAAATTTCTGCTTCTGCGTTCTGAATAAATAACCAGAATCATTCAATAGAAGATATCAACTGATACTATATGGAAACAACATTAAAAGAACTAACCGACTGCTCAATATCAAGACGAACGTTTCTCAAACGTTTCAAGAAGTTATCAAACAACATCTCACACGTAATAATTTCCTCGCTAAACCAAACCATACCACAACGAGATACTGTTGCTAACGTCGCATATTTCAAGTCCGCAACTTCGAAGATTATGCGAACCTTAAGCTCATGATTTCATGTTTATTTCAGATAGCACTTGCTGCAATAATATTATGGAAACAACTACCAATCTTTGATAAATATTAACAGCTTGTGATAAAAGTGAAAAACGAGCTACAAAGTAAGTTAGTTACAGTAACAAAAAAAACTGACATTTGATGGTATCCCAAGACGTTCACCGTTTGGTAGTGTAAGCAATTTGTTATCATCAAGTACTGAGTTTAAATTTTCAACCCATTCAGGATCAACATCACCATCAAATATTATCCACTGACGTTTTGATGTCTCACCCCGTACGTTATCAATAATTCTACGAATAATATGCGTAAAAAGACCATCGGTCCATTCACGTGTATTCGGATCAAGAACACCATATAAAGCATCTTTGCTCATTGCCTTTAATTTTAATTAAAATCAGAATTTGATATGCAAAGATATCTGTAGTTATATACAAAAGTATAGCTCGAAAATGAACCATAAATCTGAATTTGATTAACAGATGACGAAAGAACCAGATATTATAGCAAACCTTGGCGTCAATAACATATGCAACACCTTCCACTCCTTCATAGCGCTCTAGTGCTTTTAGCAACACCCTCCATGCGGTTGTTTTACCACTACCGCTAGCACCAACCAGCATCAAACCGTGATTCAAATTCGTAATCTGATACAGCTGCAACACTTTTTCTAACCATGCTGAACCAAGCTCACCAGGTGTTGATGAATGGCACAGAAGTAACTGATCGCATACTTTCGCGATTTCATTTCGGAGTCTGCAAAGTGTTCCTTAATAATTTCGGAATTTAAAAGAATAAACCATCTATATATGTAAAGAACTGTTTACCCTTCCATTTGGTTTGGTTTGTATTGTATCGAAGGGAAAACATCAGAAAGTAGAGAAAAGAGCAGGGCTATATCTTCTGACACAAGCTTTGGTACCAGCGTTTCACATACTGATTGTATCAGGATTTGTTGTTCGGATATTTCACTTGAAATATCACTTTCGCTAATCTAAAATTGAAAACTTTTTTATTATATCCAATTCTTTTAAATTCTTCAATTAACATTTTTTTTATTATTCCAATTCTTTTAACTCCATCAAAAAACACCTACATTACTCCGATTTTCAATCATACGTTGAATTTCATCCCGCTTGATGTTGCCAGCACTCACGAGCACATACTTCAAAGCACGAAGACCGAAATCGTAATGACACTGATCTGATAACTGCTCTTTGCATAATCTAAGAAAGTATAGATATATTAATTTGTTTTTTTTTTGAAAAAATCTATTTTACACAACTATATTCACGCACAGAACAGTTTGAATAACTAAACTACAAAATAATTTCAATATTTACATGAAAAGCGGCACAATTTTTTTTGCAAGTTTTTCAGCCGTTCTAAAGCCTTGTGAGAAAAGCATCACTTGAGCAATAAGTTGGCGATCTGGTTGTGTCATGGCCAGTGAACGGAAAAGCTGCAACAATATAAAATATAATGATATTAAAGACAATATTTTCTAAAATAGAAATTTAAGCAATTTTACACAAAACAAATATTAATCTACTGATACAAACTCAGGTATGCTACTAAACTCAATACTATTGTAAGTGTCAAACACTGGTCAAGGACTTTTCAAAATAGATATCAATATTCAATTTTATATATTGTCAAGTTAAAAACACAAAAAACAGATCAAAATGTTTACCTGTTTCAAGTTATCGGGCAAATTAGAACGACCTGAATAACCTGGATTCATGGTAATGAATATTGCCATATTTGAATTCACTAATAATGTTTTTCCAATCAAGTCAACCTGAATAACAGTGTTTGAATTCTTCAAAATGGAGGGGGAAATCCAAACAAAACAAATGTATATTACCTGCATTTGTCCACCAGCCCGAACAGCTTCCTGAATAGTTTGAATCTGCTGACTAACAGCTGACAGCATACGTTCTTCAAGACGATTAAATTCATCGAAACAACCCCATGCGCCTACTTGACATAAACCTACTAAAATTCGTCCCATTGCCTAAAAGATAAAGGCAAAATTAAAATAAAGCTACAACTCTTAGGAATCCAAATTTGATAATGTGACTGGAACCTTAAATCGATAAACTGAATGAACCTGAAAATCGAACGTTTCATCGCAATTGAATACGAGCACAAAACGACCAATTTTATGGCCTAATGCTTTAACACTCTCAGTTTTACCAGTACCAGCAGGCCCGAATGGACTACCGCCTAACCTGCAAACTCACGCATTTGTTATAGAAACTTACATAACAAGTTAGAAATGTAAAGCTTCTAGAAAATTTATAAAACAAGTCGTAATGTTATAAGATTACAACAGTACAAATACTACTTTTTGAACTAAATCAAAAAGATGTGTTCAAGAACTTTTTTGCCGATTTTTTTCCATGACGATTTAATTAACCTTGAATTTAAAGCCTGAGTCATTGTCAAGTAGCAGCGATCTGTTAAAGGAGTCTGAACAAGCTTTTCTTGCAAACCCAAATATTCGAAACCATATGGAAAATGGGCATTCGCCATTTTCATGACGCAACATGAATGAGGGTCCAATTTTCGTGGATCAAAATAGAAGCGCATACATCTGGACCAATAGAAACTTGTCGCAGAAGCAACTTTATTCTGGATTAAACACCGACAAATATCTCTTTTGTGCACCAGTTCAGTTATCTGAAAGGGATTAATTTAGAAAATAACAATTTAATAAAAAGTAAAATTAAATAAGCTAAAATCAGACTGGAAGCAAAACAGTACTTCTAATATTTTAATTGATGAAATATATTATATTACCAATGCTTCAATTTTCTTTCGTCGAATAGCAGGCTGTTCGCTTAGTACGCTATCTGCTAGTAACGACAATGTTTTTTCCACAATATCTTCGATGGCTTCTACAGTTTTTCCTTCAGCAAAATGTATTTCAATGTTAGAACACCACCAAATATTAGCTGTTAGCTCAATTATCTGTGCCTAAAAAACATACAATAATTTTAATAAAAATATTCTAAAAGTTTCTAAACTGTACATGTGATAGTATTAACATTTATAAAAAGTGATATTAACCGGAAACTGATCAAGCCAAGCCATGTATTCCTGTGGTTGAACTGAATTCATATCAAATTTCGAAAATATCGACAATGACTGATCCAGCAGATGCGCCAATGTATTCCGCATTTCACATTCAACCATACGCAACCAGTCGTTGATGCGGGGATTCTCCTGTTGAAAAAAATTATGTTTCTTTAAAAACAGGAAGGGAATAAGAAAAGTGAAAGAATTGTAGTTTCGAAACTTTATAATCTTTAAATTAATTCCACAATTACATACTTTGACACTGATAGGTTTCATCAACTGCACTCTTTCTCCTTCGCGACTGCTGATAGCCGTTATGAGAGTATTATCCTTTTCCACATCGACTGCTGAGATACCAGCAAACATCTTTTTCAAATGCTTTTGTACACGTGTAATATCTTTGCTGCAAGAAAACTCTCAATAGTTTGACATCATGTGAGACCGCTAAACAATAAGAATGATGCGCTTTAAAATGTGGCCGTTCATGAACAATTATCAAACTATAGTAAATTATTTTTTTATGACCATGCACATACCTATTACCCATAATTTCGAGTAAATCTTCATCGCCAACAAAATAAAATCGAGGGAACGAGTTTCGTTCACGCTCCAAATATTCACCCAAAGCCTTTTGAATCTTTCCAAGCATATCAACTAAGCGTTCCAAGAGACGCTGTGCTCCTTGCATATTCACTATGTCCAGGATTCGAGATGTCGACATTACTTTCTTCATTAATGCCAAAAATTCAGTAGAAATACTGAAAGAAAAACGTGAGGCGAAAGTAAAGCAATACAATGAAATGAACATATGATGATTCAAACACACCAATCATTACCTTGAAAATCTACTCGATTCCACGGGCAAAAGGGTATTAATATCCGCTGATACCGAAAATAATCCATCCAAGTACACCCATCGACGCTGCACGTCAATCCAGACATCGAATAATGCACTTATTTTATTCAGCTTCTCTTCCCATGCCAATGCATCCTACAGAAAAGTGAGGTTCTCTGAACAAAATTTTCATATGAGAATTGATTGAATCATATATTATTCCTCAGCAAAATATACATCCAATGCATACAAACCAATTTTTGTACCTTTTTAATACTGTTACGTTGATTAAAATTCGAAAGAAACTGACTTCCTCAAACTGCTTGTAGTACGGTGATAGCTTCATTGCGGTAAGTGAATTCATATGCTCCTTCAATTTACTGAACAAATCGTCCCACCCGCGAATAAGCTTTGTTTTATTTTGGTAATTCACAAGGTCAACTTCAAATGACTGCCAATACTCGCGCACCTGAAGTCACATCATATGACAGTGTCAAGCAGAGATTAATAATACATAGAAGCAAAATCAAGAATCAGCATAAAATCAATGAGAAAATGTACCTGCTTCAAGAACTCTTCCAATGCAAGTTCGCCTTGAGCTATTAATAATACTTGCTTAATAGCTGATTCATAGCGCAGCAAATCAGCATCCCATACTTGTCCCAACGTTAACTCTGATAAATTCCAAGAAACACGAAGTTCTTTCATCAGTTGTTTCCAGTGGCGCTCTTTCAATGCATCGGATTTCAATTCAACAACAATCATATTCATCTATAAACATGAGTAGCTTACATTGGGAAATTGATTATTTCATATCATTTAAACCAGTGAACTTGATGAACTTTCTACCTTAGAGTAATTATGAAGCATTCGCTTCGCGTATTCATAAGAATCATAAGAACGATATTTCGCTGGTAATTGCTTCAACTGAGCAAGCAGTTCGTCTAAACTTTGACGTAACTTGCGTGGTTGCACCGATAACCATGTTTTCTCTTTTAGCTCATCAACGGCATCGTACATGGGCATCAACGACTGCCACACACCTATGAAAATTGATGAAGTACAACTTTTTTTCCATCCAAATAAATTGGAGTACTGTTAGAGTTTTAAAAACGTCAATGTTAAAAAAAATTTGATCAAATAAAAAATCCTTTTAAAAAAAAAATTTGATGAAATTGCATCAAAACCTTTTAGATCTGATAGTTCTTCCACAGCAATGTCCAATTTTGCAGCATGACTCATAGTGAAAACTGGTTCAGCCATTTCTAGCGCTCCCTTTGCTTTCACCATATTCGCTCGATCTTCTTTCACTTTACTCAATTTTGCTTCGAAAGTAGCCAGTGCAACCAAAGCTTCATTGGGCCTTTGTGTCCCCTACAGAAAATATTATTTGCAATATAATTCTGTCTATCACTCTTTCTTATAAATTTATGAACTTATGAGTAAAATTATAAATTTGTAAAAAAAAATCTGCAACAAACCTGAACTGGTTTACACTTGTCCCAGTCCGCAAGGACATCCTGTGTTCGTTTTTCTACCATTTCATCTTCCTCCTTGATTTTGGTCTGGAGGTTAGCAACCTAAAATTATATCAGTTACTAATTATTAACTATCAATCAGCCCATACAAAAAAATGCAAGCCCATACACTTCGTACCCTAATATAATCGACTTCGCCAAAGCCGAGAAGTACTAACACATATAAACCACTGGCAAAAAAGAATCACACTGTCAATACTTAAATATGATATCAACTAATTATATTATTTAAAAAACTGCTACAACTCCAAATACTCATCTTCCATTTTTCTCAAAATACAAAAAAAATTCATATTGCAGCTCTTAAATTGTAGTGCTGCAAGCGATCATGCGAATTTGCTGAAGCAAGCATTCACACGACCATGCTTTGAAATTACAACAACAGGATAATAACAACACAGCACATCAAAATACATCAGTAATTTCATAAAGTGGTTCGAAAAAGCTAATTTACGTGAATAAAGATTGAAAAAAATAAAAAACAGGTAGGTATGCGAACACAGAACATACCACTGTTCCGCAGCTCGGATTATTTAACTGCATCAATAAATTTTTGTAGATTTTTGAAAAAGACTATCTAGAAAACACGTAAAAATAATGGAAGAGTGACAGTCGACCTGTAAATCAATAAAACTCTTCTCCCATCATGAAAATAATGTAACATCACGTGAATGATGCGTCCCATAAATCAGCAAGCTGAAGCTTACCAAGAAATTTTGTCTAGAAATAACAAAATAACATACTTGTGCCTGAATAGCAGAATCCTTTCGTTCCAAAATGTCACTCAAAGCTGACCACTCACCATCAACATTTTCGGAATACAACCATGAGTTCGGAAACTGGTAGCGTTGTTGAGTGAGCAGGCGCTGTGCAGCTCGAAATTGTTCAACCTTTAAAAAAAAACCTTGGAAAATTCAGGCCAAGACCATAAATTTGGAAGCTATTGTTGTTTGACTAAAAAGTTATCGCCTAAAGTTCAAGTTTTCAAAATATTCAAGAAAAACAGACTTTATCTTGACAAATTTTCGTTTTTTTCTTTAGTTGCTGAACGTATGTTATAAGCTGGATAGCATCCGTTGTTGTACCGCTGTCAACGCTTTGCTCTTCGAGCTCATTACGCCATTTTGATATATCAGAAAAGAACACTTGCATTTCCTGACCTAAATATTTATATCGATAAAAACAATCAAATTTGAGATCAAAATTTTATTTAAACAATATAATTAAAACATACCGACAGATGAGCCGAATTTCTGCAGGATTTCACGATGCCAATAATCATATTTAAGAGAGACCTTCGATTGAACTTTAGTATAGTCAATAACCACCGGGAAAATCTCTTTTCTTGTTTCTTGAGTGTCGAATGTTGCTCTTGACTTTCGAATTTCAATTAATGTTTTCATCCATTTCGACACGTCACTTCCAAGTCTTTCATATAAAACGTCGGGCTGTAAGTCCCAAAGAGCCTAAAACAGAGAGTACATCAATAAACATAGGAATTATTGGAAGAAAATCTGTTGAAAAAGTGGATTTCTATATTACTGTGTACCTGATATCGTAGCCATTCGCCAACATAATCGGTCACTTCTTTCATAACTTTTTCAACAGTGTTATAAGCTTGCTCAATAATTTTTTGGCCTTGCGGAAGATGCGCCAACACATCACGATAAGTAGCTTCTGTGCTATCCTTTGTGAGGGTTAACTAAAACGAAATTTTTAAAAAAATTGTAGCAAGCTCTGCTCTAATTTTTAATATCATTTTCTCATACATGATTTTGTTACATTTGAAAATCAAACGCTTGCTATGACTTAATTCAGAGTTATCAAAAAACAAATTGATGACACATTTAGTTTTACCTGAAATCGCGTGCTGGAAATGCGCGGCTGATTTGTGATTACAGACTGCCAGGCAAATAGCTGATCTAGTAAATGAGCTCGAGCTTGTTCAATACTTGGACTGACATACATCACTTGTGATGTAACCCGCATTTCCAAAACTATTGGTTGAAGGACGGGCAAAGTGCCTTTTTCATCACTTTCATCTTCGAACTCATCGTGGGCAAGTACAACAGTCCAAAGATGAATTGCTTCTTCAACGCGAGATGCTAATTTCTTAGCAATCTAAATATGGAAGTCTACCTGAATTACCCAAAAGAAGAATGTAATACTTGAAACCTTACCTTTTGGATTTTTTGACAAATAAAAAAGCAATATTCGTCAAAAATTTTAAGGCTCGTACCTTTGCATCTATCGAGTTAACCCAGTGATGCAAATTGGAGAAATTGCCTAGAGATAGTTGATCGACTGCCTTTTGTATCGAGTCAAGCAAAGTACCAATTGTTGCCGATGTGTAATGACATGTATCCAGAGCAGCAAGGTCAACCTGAAATTCTAATAATAATCTCATGCAAATTCTGACAAAACCTTAGAGTAGCATAAAATTTTATAAAAGAATGAACACCTCAATCCTGTCAAGAAGTATATCCAATTCTTCTACTTTTTCTTGGAAATTATTGATTGAAGAGGAAAGCTTGACAACATAAGGATCCATTTTGTATGATTCCCATGTAAGTGAATTACCCTGAAAATAATTTAATCATAAATTCTCGCAAAATTTTATATTAGTAACATCACTTTGTTCTTTGAGAAAGAAGAAAGCAATCACTATGGCGAAACAATTTAATATAAAACAGACTAACCTCAGCTAGCTGTCCTTGTATATCTTTCTTGTAAGCCACAATCAACATGTTCACTCCAGGTTTATTTGCTATTCGTTCATTTATTGAATCATAAGTGCGAATAGATTCCAACAATGAAATTGCAAATGGATATAAAAGATTTGCCTGATGAGCTGTATTAACGATCTTTAACGGGATCCGAAAGCCCATGTGCTTCATATTCCGGACCTGAATCAAGAAACACACATAGAGCAAAATTTCTTTCTGTTTCATTTCTTTATGTCATTAATATTGTCAGTCGATTTCTGGTTTCAAATATTGTAGTTCTTTTCCAGAGATCAAATGTTTCAAAGGGCAAAATTACCTCTTTAAACAAAGTAACGACATCATTCGAGAAATTCACTTTCAAATTCAACACAATTTTCCCATCTTTCTGACGTTTTTCAATAATGAAAATTCGTCCAGTCAAAGAAATATTTTTAGCCTGCACACGTGCAACCCAATCATCAAAAATATGCTGTGTATTTAGTTTTTGTCGGAAATTATCGCCTTCTAGTTTTAGCTGCCGACCTAGAACAATATAAGAGCTTACACAGATAAGGCTAAACAACAAAAATAAAAATAAAAAAAATTGAAGAATGACGAACCGTCGACATGATTTTCCCATCCTCGGCCTAAAACATCTTCGATCCGTTTCATATACTGTGTCAATTTACTATTGATCTGACGAATCCAAAGAATCGATGCAGCAACGGGTGGTATATCAATAGCTCGCAATATTCTTGCATTATCTGCCTCATTGAAATTTTTAAATCTAGTCTGAAAACGTTCCTTGCTGAGTCAAATAGATACTTTCCATGTTTCATCACCTTATTGTTCAGAAGTTGAGGAAACATACTACCTGTAATTTATCTATATCCTCTTTTACTCTCTGTATCAGTTGTGTCTGATACTCTCGTATTGCACCACGGATATGCGGTCGAACAAAAAGAGCATTGAATCGTTGGAAAATCATAAACATTTCATCAGCATTTCTAGCACCACCCAACTGATCCCGTAATTTCGCAGTAATCTGAGTTTCTACACGATCAATCTGGTCTTCGTACCTGGAAAAAACACATCGATAAAAAAAATGTATCAAAACATTTTTTTATTTTACTTTTATTTCGTTTTCGTGAAAAATTCAGCTAACTAGCATGCATCACAAAGTATACCAACCTACGTATAGCAGCTTCCCATGCGACAGTGCCATCATTACTCACATCCAAACAATCAACCTCCTTAACATTTTCATATGCCGTATTGACCTGTTCGATAGCGCTTAACTCTGGAGCATTTAGAGTCGATGTCTTTTCAACATCCGAATTAGATCGCTTCTCTCCTTTCTGGCCTACTGGCCTCAAGACCCGTGATATAACTGTGCGTAACTGCTCATGCTGTCTAAAATACTAGTACTTTTTATTTTTTACATCATACTGCATGATTATAAACATTTGTTTATTACGAGTATAAGAATCTACCCATAAAAAATCAAAATGTGAAAAAATTCCATCTACAAAGCTTTTTAATGAGAAAAAAATGAAATTACTAACCACTGTGTAACAACTAAATATAATCAAAACTAGCCGACGAAACTGTCGCATTTGATCAAGACGGCTTTCTAATTTTTTGTGTTGAGGATTGAGTCGCCATGTTAATTTGAGCTGTTCATCACGCTTTTTCTTTGTCAGATCACGCATTATGGTTGTGAGTTTATCGTATTCATCATTCCATGTAGAAAAAACAGCAAAACATTGAGCCATTAAATTGTCAAAATCTCCTAGCGGAATGTTCATCAATCGTCTAGTACCAAGCGCCTGAAATTTTAATGGAAGGTAATTATATACTTGATCATTAAACTATGTATATATCGTTCCATTTATAATTACGTACTTCTATTTTACAGTGTCAAACCTTGAGTTTAATATTCAGTAAATGACGATAACCTTTAACATTTGGGTAGAAAGATCCTTTGAAATTGCTTCCACAAAACGTAGCGCTCGAGCAATTGGATATTTTGTATTACGTAATTTTTTCATATGTGTAAATATATTCGCTAAAGCATTTTTAATGCTTTCCATATCTGTTGCAGCCATCAATTCATTTAAAGGCAAATCCTTCATCAACACATTGTAATCATTCACCATCGCTAACGTTTGTTTAAGGCCTGCATTAAAATCAGAAATAATTCCATCCGTAACCTATATAAAAGTAATTTATCGCATATATAATAAAGATGGGATAAATTATTTTTGTTTGTCATTAATTGAGACACATTTTTAATATGAATGACGACCTGTATCAGCGTCAAATGACACTGTTGCATGAAATCGCTTGCCGCATTTCAGAGCTTCTAACGTCAACGTCACTTCGTCTGATTCTCTTTTCTGCGCAATCTTTTGCAAAGCCCTTTCCAAGTTCAACCAAAATGTCATTTCTTGCAATGAAGTTCCTGAGCCCGCATCACGATCCAGTTTTGTCACCTTAACTAGAACAATACTGAAAAATGGTATGAAAACGTTTTAAAAAAGTGTGCAAAATCTTGCATCAAGCTCGCATAAAAAAAAACACATGCCTTCTGAATTTCTTTGACCCATCGGTTGACGCCTTTCTGTAAAGCATTTAAAAAAACTGAACTTTCAACCAGATTGCCCAGATCAGTTACTCGAGCTTTATGTCCTTTTTCAGCAGCTTGTTGAATAGTATTCTGAATCACTGGGTGGATCGTCAAATTAATTTCTGGTATATCTATATTCTGCTGCATGTGAAGTAATGCAACTTCCACCTGAAAACAATCCACTCAAAGTAAGCTACTATCCAACTTTTCAAAAATATGTTGGAAACAAGTTTTTAAAAAATATACCTCACTCAGATGTTTTTCAACCGACAATGCAAGTTTATCACCATCTCGTTCACCCCGACCATAATCAACTAAAGACTTGAAAAGTGGCGTTCCAATGCGTCCAAAAATCGATAGCAGTACATCATAAGAATTACCTTCCGGTATTCTGCAGAATTCATAGGTGCAAAATAGATAAAGTAGTTATATAAAATGTTGCTAAACTTTCCTAGCAGAAACTTTAAAAATGAAAAATTTGACTAACCTTACAACATATAGTTGATCTTCAACTGGTTTATCAGCTTCAACACATGTGCCACTTTTTAGCAACAATAACGATGTTGTTCGTTCGATACGTTTAGCCGTTTCATTGGAAATGCGAAATATTGAAGTAACATCCTCAACAGTATCATCTGGATTTGTATCTAAATCTGAATTCATATGAACAGGAATCAAATGGAAAAATTCGCAGCTTTCAAAATCTTTGCGAGAATATATACAAACAAGCAGCGAATACATCTTCATTTCTCTACTGAAAATGGTGAAACAGTTCATAACAACATAAGATCAAAATTTCTCTAATGAAAACTTTTTTTTAAGCATTTCTGTCAAAAATGTCAAAAATATCAAAAATTTCTTCACAAACCTCTGGCAACGATCCGATCAATAACTAACATCGGTACTTGTGGATCATTAATGAACTTTTGCACACATTCTGCATTTCCGCTCTGTGAAAAAGCTTCTTCTAATGCTGCAGCTCCTGCACCAATGAACTCGTGCTTTACATAGTCTAGCAGAGTAGAGATATCAACTAACGCTGCCTAAATTTAAAATTTTAATAGTTGAAACTTGTAGAAGAGCACAAAAAGTAATCCATTTTATTCTCTCAGCAAGTCTACTCAATCATCTTTACTGTACCGCAATCACATGATTCTCATTTTTCTTCGCCCTTCGTTTCTACAGCAAAATATCCGTTCTGCAAAAAAAATCATCCTTTAAAGAAATTCTAATTTTCAATCTTTTTTATGCATTCCTTTTGTTTTTCAGTATCATATTCTTTCGCCAGTTTTTTCCTCATTATCCGCTTATGCTTTATTAACGCTTCAATATGCGCCAAGACCAAACTGCTATCCGGAAATGCAATAGCAAGCATTTTCGCTCATAATAAAAGTCCTTCAAGGGAATACTTTTTATATAACATGCTTTCGCACTTCAACAACCATCATTCATTGAGTGCTCCACAATCTTAATTACTATTTTTTCTAGTTTAATATCGATCTTCATCCATATATTAGTTCTAATAACTCAGTCCGTGCAGATGAGAACTTTTCCGGACATTCTTTATATCTTGGCTCATAAAACAAAGTGATTTTATACCAGGCATTTAAACGACTGCCATAAAATCAAAAGTCAACCAACAAAATCTCAGAAACGAAGAAAGAGCCAAGATAAATTAAGGAATTATGTGAGGAAGCAAAAAAAAAACCAGACGGCGTCTGTAATTCATAAAAAAATATGAACGTACTTCGCCAGCAGTAGGTGCTGTGGTTGTAACCGTTGACTTATCGCTTTCGGAATCCGTCATTCGGTTAAACCATTCCTTAAAAAATTTAAGTTTCAATTTCTTATCATCCCTAAACAATAATTCATTTAACACATGAAAACAAGCATAAAACTGCACAATGACCACATCTCTAAATAACTCCGTTCCCGGAAATAATCATCAATGGTTGATAATCTGAAACTGGTGCGCAAGAATTTTTTCCTTCACCCTTCTTTTTAGTCATCCAAAGGATACAATCTAATCTTAGCAAATAATACTTCTCATCACCCATTTACTCCAAATATAAAACCTCCAAAACAATATGAATTCCTTAATCATAAACTATCAATTAATCAGTCCACTCTTCTGAAAGTCAACTGTAACATAGTTTTCGTGACTTTGTTAAGATTCCTCTATCCAATCTGCAAACTTCGAATTCATCGAATAATAGCGATGATAGATAGATGTAAAAGCAGCTGTCAACACAATACCATCGATTACTACCTCGAACATCTTTCCTCGATAGTTCACTCAACGAGAATGTAACATCAATATGTGTTGCAGATGAAAGGCTTACAATTTTTTTGTTCGAAAAATAAATGACAGATGAAAAGAGAGTAGAAATGAGAGGAGGACGGTTAGAATATGTTTGCAGAGTGTCATCCTCCCACTCATCACAACATGATAGCATACTCTGTCCTCTACCTTTTCATACTCAGAAGTCAATTTTATCAAGCTATCATCTCCACTACAAAATTCTACGTGGCGCAAATAATACACAACAGAACATACAAACACCGCTCGATTCCACTTCACTTATGAGAACGACTATCAGAATCTTATTTACAGCATATCCATAAGTAATTAATGGTTTGCTATTGTGAGCTAAATTAATAACTAGATGAAATGAACGAACACGACAAGAAAGAAGAGAAATTGTACGGAGGAAGAAACACTGGCAAAAATATGATTCATTGGCCTTCACATTCTTCTTCCTCTCTTGGCTCTTTCTTGAAAAAGGAAAATTAACAGGGAAATTTAATTTGTCAGAGAGATAAAAAACACTGAAGTAATGATGTGTGTCACAAAAAGTAATACGTGAAAACAATCACTCATCATTCCCATCCCAATATCACTGGACAGTGTCCTTTCTCGGTAACCTCCACTTTCTCGTACCTATCTGAATATTATAATTTATTTCCGAGAAAGTTCAACTTCATCCAATTAAAGTACGAATGACAAAGGTCATGAATCGAGATCCTTGACTTATACCAGCTGCTTCTTACTGGAAGTGAGGATAATATGTGTCACGAAAAGCTAACAAATAATTGCGCCTTTCAGCCTTGGTAGAGAGAGAAAGAAGGAAAGAAAGAGGAGGAGAGGGAGCAGAGAGGAGTAAAGAGAAGGCAGCGACGAGACGAGAGGCGAGAATGGTTGAAGAATGAATACTCGAAAGACATTTCGTTAGTAATTCGGTTTGAAATTTGTATATTGCTATAAAATTAAGCTAAGAGAATTGAAATATTGAAGTGGATGAAATAGAATAGAGAAGTGGAGGGGGAAGAAGTGAAAGAAATAAATGAGAAAGTATGAAATGGAATTAAATAATGAATATGGGAGAAAGTAGATAAAGTGTATTGCAATGCCAGCAAGTACTGTTCCATTCCTCTCACACAAGATTATCATTGAAATGATAAAAGTGATGTCGAAATAATTATTAATGAAGAAGCATTTATGATATCTCGATAGTACTAATTATTAATGAAGTGACTTTCATTTTGTATGGAATTTAATCGAATTTGCAGAGATGGATGAAGTTGAGAAATTTATGGATGATGACGATTTTGAAGATGCTTATACGTCTGTATTGGCAGATGGTGGCAAAAAATGTACCATTTTTCTCATCGATGCTTCACCCAAAATGTTCGAAAAATACGAGAATGATGATTCACACGACGATTGTGCATTTCGAAGAGCTTTGAAAGTACAATAAATCTTACTTTTCTTATGTTTACTGCATTTATCCATACTTTTTTTGTTAAGCCTAATGTTGTCAACTGTTTTACTAAGCCGCTATTCAATGATAACTCTTTCAGATTGTGCGTTTGCAAATGATCAACAAAGCGGTAACGTCAACATCCGGAGAGCATACTTGTTGCATTCTCCTAAACACTGTAATTTTTTCAGCTTTGATTTTAATTAACAGTTAACTTAGAATTATCATACTTCCCAAAATCTACTTCATAAGCTATTCAAGACGGAAAGTCAAATATTTTTGGAATGGCATGCGTTAGAAATAAGTGAAAGAACTGAAAATTTTCTAACTGAATAACAATCATAGGAAAAAAACGGGATTTAAGTATGTACTGTAAAAAAAAAATGTTTTTAGAATAAAATCTTAAATAACTTATAGATTGAGTAGGAATTAAAAGATATAATTCTGTTAAAACATCTAAATTACAAGCGATAATCGTTAAACTCAGAACCTGAAAGTACTTCTGAACTGTAGGAATGCTTTCAGCAAAATAAATCGCATTCAGTTGACCATATATATATTTTGCAAGAAGTTGAAGAAATATCAGCTGACCGAATTAAAGAATTGGATAAATTATTAAAATCAGGTATCTTTTTTGGATTCGCTAAGTATTAATTTAATGTTTTAGCATATTTTTAGATATTTTAGTAGAATGATATCTTTTAAATGAAAATTTTGTTTTAAAAGAATAAAACTTAAAATGTATTTAGAGTATATACTTTAGAGCGTTCTTTGAGCTTCCGTTTTTTTTCATGATTACTTGTCAGTTATCCAAAAAGAAAGCTTCCACTTATTTGTGAAAATTTTCTTACTATTTATTTTTATTCAGTTGAAAGTCACATCCTTAGGATTCCAATTATTGATGGCACACTGTTGTTCATTTCATTTTGATTTCATTCATTTCATTTTCAGCTGGTTTTCTAATTTTTTTCTAATTTTAATTCTTGGAAATTGAAAAACCAATTATAAATTATGTTCAAATTCAAATTTATTTATAGAGAATATATTGTCAGCTTTCAAGGATATATGTGGTGAACACGGTTGTTGTGATTATAGCGAAGCACTGTTCTTATGCATTAAAAGAGTGACTTGTCGGACGTGGGTTTCTTTGAATCTCTTCTGAAAATTATTAATTTGAACTTTTAGCGCTGGTTTTGCCTGCAAGCTTTCTGCAAAAATTTCAGATCATTCATTTTTGTATTGTAGTCATGAATATCAATACTGCAGACCCTATTTCCGAAAACGAACAGTTTATCTGTTCACCAACGAAATGAATCCGTTTGGTACAAATAATCAGCATCGTATCTCCGCTTGCAAAAATGCCGATGATCTTCGAAATCATAACACAGAGTTTTCGGTCTACCCACTTGTTGCTGAAAACGATACATTTACATTCAGTATTTTGGTACTACATTTATTTTACTTTTTGAGCACGACTATCCTTTTTGCTAACTTTTTAGGAACTTTTTTCTTTTGATTGTATTTATTTCAGGAACAGTTGGACCCAGACGTTGAAAAGAATTTTGAGAACATCAGTGAACTGGAAAAAGAGTTTGTCTTCAACTTCTCATACGTTTTTTCATTTGCTTTGAAACAGACAAATTACTGCAATTATTTCCTCGAAATCATGCGTCTTTAGCTTATCTATTTTGCAGAATACCAAAGAAGCAATATGCACATCGCAATATAGCAGGCATGGATTTCGAACTCGGAAATGGGCTAAAAATTTCAGTTGGAATGTTTGTGCTATTCTCCTTCATTTAATTGTATTTTTCTATTTCCATGTTTATTTTTTCGTATGAAAAGTCATGATGCATTTTCAAAAACCTTAACTTTTTAGCTATTCTTTGCTACGGTCCGAGAAGATTCCTCAACCTGCAATTCTAAATGCTGAAACAAATGAAATTATGCAGCGGTCACATATATATGTTAATAAAGAGGTTTGTATTTTAATTTTCTTGACTTAATCAACTACGTTTGCTGAATTTAGTTGTACCTTTTTAAGTGCAAAGAAAATTTATTTCTAATTTTTGAATCATTTTTTAAATATTCTTTCTTACTAAGGCTGATGAGGAAGTACCAGTGCTTGATAAAGAAATCATTCGAAAACGACAAATTGGAGGTGAAGTTATTAGTCTGTCTGCAGATGAGATCGAAAACTTGCGAAGGCTTACACCGCCAGGTTTTAGATTTTTCTGCATATTTAACATTTTGCAAGAAATAAGAAAAGGTAATTAAAATTAATTCTTTTGAAATGAACATTTTTGCTAACAGCATTTTGGTATATGTCGTATGATTTGATAATTTTGTTTCTTAAAAGAATGGATAGCAAGTATTTGTTTGTTCTTTATTTTTTTTCAGTTCTTTTTAAACTGAGATATCATTTACAGGTATATTGTTGCTCGGATTCAAGCCTCTTTCCTGCATTAAAATCACACATCACGTTCGAAGCTCACAGTTTGTTTATCCCCTTGAAAAAGTAAAGAAATGTTCATCTTTTGCACTCAATTGAATAGGAAGATTTAAATTTTTAGAAAATCGGAGAATTTCATCCTATGGTTGTAACGCTGCTTGAAAAGAGTATGCTTGTTGTAGAATATATTCAGACTTTTCGTCACAGTCCTTGCACTACAAAATAAAGCTATTTTTAAGCGCATTTTATTTAAAATTAGAGAAGTTCGATTCTGATAAGATGAAATATGTGTATTTAATACCAGGATATTTTGGGTTCTATTCGGTTGTATCGTATTCTTTATGAAGTTTGTATGAAACAGAAGAAAATGATTATATGTCGATATACGCAAAAAGCGAATGTGCCGCCAAAACTTGTTGCTTTAGTGCCCCAAACATCCGTTACAGATGATAATTCAAAGGTTTTTTTATGTTTGTGCACAGAAACTCAGCCTTCATTTCCTTTACTTAGTATTTTTCCCAAAAAAAGTTGTTTTCCATTCGCTTATTGTAATTTTTGCATATTTAGGACAAACTCAGTTCAAAATTTTGTTATCCTGGGTTTCATCTGGTATATTTGCCATTTGCAGAAGATAAACGCGACCTTAGCGAACAGATGACTCATCGGGATGGTGAATGGCCAACCGGTATTTTTTTCTTTTTGGTTGGCTGATTCATGTTTGATTAGTTCCTGTTAAAGTCTTATCTGTAAATAATGTGAAATGAAAAGCAATAGAAAACGTGATTACCAGCGGGATTTGGAATATATAGATTATGAAAGTTTTAATTTTTGCTGAAACTAATGGATCAATTTCTAGCATCAAAAGAGCAGATTGAAACGGCGAGAAAATTGGTTAAAAAACTTACGACTAGTTATTATCCAGAGAAATTTTGTAATCCCGGTGAGTGGCTCCATGTTTCTACTATTAACACAAATTAACACAAATGGTGGATGTTATTTTAAAATATTAAATGTTGATATCACTGTATCTCTACATATCCATTACTTTCCAGTATTGCAAAAGCATTACAAAGTGATTGAAGCTTTGGCTCTAGATTATGATGAAGTTCCAGAAGTTCAAGATCAGATCCGTATGTCTTTTACATATATAAATCTGTTAAATTGAGCATCTCTATCTGTTAATGTGATGCTAATTTCAACGTTTGGTATCATAAGCGTTGTCTGAAGAACTGACATACTTGGCCATGTCTATTTCCAATTACCAGAGGAACAGCTGGTTGTGCTAAACGTTAACATAGTTTTATATAAAGTTTTTAAAAGTATTTTGTTACTCTAGTAATAGTGCTATAAGCAGTTGATTTTTTGCATAACAGTAATTATTATTAAAACAATAGTAAACTTGTGCTGATCAACTTCAGTGCAGTGAATTGGTGTCAGTATTTATGTAACATCTAGGATTCTAGTGCTCTATTATAGAAAAGGAACATTTTAGAACCATATTTTGTGTATGATGATTTTCGAAAACGGGTAGAAAAAGAATTGGACGAATTTCGTTCCTCCCTATTTCTTGATGGTTGCAATTCGGAACAGAAATGTACTAAAGAGGCAAAAAAGGCTGGCAAAATAAGTTAGTCTAAAAGTTTTTTCATTTGTATGTTAGATCTAACTCTTTATCTTTCATTTACATTTTTCTGTTTGCAATTGCTTTATTTACTAAGCAGGTAGTACGTGGAACACGAAAAAGAAATTGGTGGACGAAAGCTTGCTATATTTGGCTAATAATCACTTGGTAAATTTTTATGAAAAATATTTTTCCCTGAAATTTATTTCAAATGTAATTAATTCATAATTTCTTTGTGCTTTGGTTATGTTAACTTTGCTTAAAAATGCTTTTATTTCGCTTGTTCTAAATACTGCAAAATTCAGCTGGAGAAAATGACGGTGGCTCAGCTAAAAAAAAAAGCAGAGGAGGAGCTTATTCCGCTTAAATCAAATGCTAAGAAGGCTGATATCATTGGTGCAATCGATCAACATTACAGAGACATATGAATTTCTGTTTAAGAACCAAACCCATATAAAAAAACCGTAAATTGTTACAAATATGTTTATATATAGAACTTGTTTTATGTTTCATTTTGCAAGTTGTCAGTTAGTAATAAAGATTAAGTTTTGAACAAATTATATCATTTTCTTCGTATGCTCTTTCTTCAGTTTTGATTATTTGTTCATCGTTTATTCGTACAGTTTTCTTTTCTTTCTGATCAGGTAATTGATATGTAAAAATTAGCATTGTGCCGACAAATAGTTTATGTGAACAATATGCAATCAAAATAAAAATTTCAGAAATGAATCCAACAGTTTAATTAGTTTCTAACAATGCTTTTGTTTTATCTGAAAATTGTTTTTCCAAATAGGTGTGACATACAACAAATAATATCGAATAAATTGTCAGTATTTTCTATCAGCCAAACTTCTCTAGTTCTTTTGTAGAAAGCTGTTTGCAATCCTTTTGAATTTCTCGTCTGAAATATTTCTAATAAAATGATTTAAATATAAAGTTAGGAGTTTCCAAAATTCCGAGATAAGTTTTAGAAAAAAAATATTATATCAAGCTGTTTTTTTTTGGCATTGGCATTCTTCAATGCTCGAAATATCACATAAAATTAGAATTTTATAAAAAAGCTCACTGCTGATGATTTTGGCGGTATGAGGGAATGTTACTTTCAGCTCTTCCTTAATTTCTTCACTGAGCGCTTGATATTTAGCAATAATGTCCCGAGCTGTCTGTTTAACCTTCTCTATATCAAGCTTTTGTCCCTCTTCTGGTCGCAGTGATCGTGCCTTCGCGATTACCTTAAATTTTAATCATTTTAATGTTCTATCCATAAGCGAAGATTTAATTAATACACTTCATTTTAATGCAAGATTTGATTATTTTCAGATTAAATGAAAATTCTAGTTCAGAAGTGTGAATCAAAACAAAATAACGGAAATAAATGTTGAATGAAACTAATAAAATAAGCTAAGTAAAGTTTAGCACAACATTTGAAATAGAAACTTTGAAATGAAATGAAATAGATTTACTGCATTTTTTAAATGCTTTTTTTTCGCTTGACTAATTGGTATTTTTCTAGCAATAGGAAATTTGAACTATATTGAAGTGAACATTAATAAATGATCTGAAATTGCGCTGTTAGTACAGTATAATGTAATGTGAAAGAACTTTGAAGTGAGAATGGAAAAGAACGATTTAGCATTTCAAATGTAAAAATACGTGAGTACCTCATCAACAAATGCTTTAGCGTCTGGCTTTAAGCTATCAATTTTTGCTTTTACAAAATTTCGTAATTCCACCGCTTTTTTATAAAGTTTATCGGATTTATCTTTTAGTGCTTCCAATGCAGCATCTTCATTTGCAAACGCTGCATGCTTGCTTGCTAATTCACGAAGAATTTGCTTGTCATCCGATGTTAAATTCTTGTAGAAATTTTTCACTTCTTCCGGTACAAATTCTGCAAATATTTTTGCAAATTTTTATTCATTAAATTTATGCAAATAATAATTATTAAAGATTTATAAAATTTTGCTCACAATATGATTACTTTAAAGTAATTCATTACAAGATAAATTTTGACATATGAATTTAGAAAATGAAATTACATGCCAATTATAAAGATTAAAAGTTATGAAGGAGAGATTAAATTTATGGATAGAGAATAAGAAAATTTTCTGGTTATTTTAAAAAATTTGGATTTTAGATTAATCCTTTTAATTAAATTCATAAATAGAAGAGTGTTAAAAGTATATAAAGATAAGAGTATAAAATCTTATTATACTCTTATGAAATTTTATTATACTCTTACTCATATATACTTTATAACTCCTCCGTTTATATCGCTATACTTTATACCTTTATACTCTTCCGGAATATTACTCATAGAGAAAGGAATAACATTTGCTATAGCGGTGCCAATTAGTGCCAGCAAAATCAATTGATGATACATTTTAATTGTCCAGGGAGGTTTTTCGACTGCCTGCAAACAGGCATCAAATTTGAAATTGTAAAACCGATGAGAAAAGTGCTAACTCATAAAAAATTCAATTTATTAAATAAAATTTGACTTTCCAATACTAACTGTATAAAAGGAAAGGAATGATATGATATGAATGTGGGATAGATTGAGTGAATTCATCTTCTTTTTTCCTAATTTAAAGAAATAGAGTATGAGAAATATGGATATAAGTTTAAATTTAGTCTTGGGATATTTAAACTATTCTCATGCTTTACTGGTAGTAGGTTAACAGAGAGTGTTAAATTTCAAATTTAAACAGTTATATATTCAGGGAGATTATCTGAAATCATAAAAGCGATGATTTCAATAGCAAGGATTTTAATTGTTTTCCTTCAAGTATCACTTTTATGTGCTCTTTTAGATTTCATCAAAATGATAATCTAATCAATGTGAGGGAAATTATTCATCATATACGATGATAGGAAAGGTTGAGATTCGACTGAACAATAAGATAACAGTAAGTGAATGATAAAGAATGTGACATCATAACATTAACAAATTAACACTGTAATAGCAAAGATTTTAATTGCTCAAATTTTTTTTGTTGCTGTAAATTCATTTCTCCACTTAAAAGACTATTAAGATGGATTGATGGATGGAAGAGACTTTTCCATAAATTTTTCAGAAATATCACATCAAACAAATTTATTCACGTAAAAAATCTAACTAGCAAATAAGTCTCATTTTATTCCTTCACGTTAACGAGCCTAAAAACTCCTTTTCTTTATAAAATATGCACTGCTAAAAATTGGCAGAGAAAAAATTGATTCTGCAAGCAAAGATTGTGCTCAATAAAGCGCGGTTGATTGTTACCGTATAGCCTGTATGAAATTTGTTCCATAAACACCGTAAAGCTATAAAATTCGTATTCTTAATTTATGCATTCAGTTGTCTTTGTTAAATTTACAATAGCAAACATTTAGAACTTCTCGATTTGTTGAATGGAAATGGTTGTTATAAAAACTGATGAAAGTGATAAAATTATTACAAAAATAGTTCGATTTAATCAAATAGCAATTTCAACGGTTAAAACAATGCAACATATGAAAATTTCCGCCCATACAAGTATTCCATTAAATTGTTGCTTCAATTTTACAAATTTTTTTAAATAATAATTCTAATAATCGTATAGAAAAATCTCTTAAATTTTTCTCTTTGTTTTTCGAGTAGCAATGAAATATGAAAATGAACTATTTGATCTTTAACTTTTATGAAAATAAGAAATCAGTAACAAAAATATAATGAAATAAAATATCAATATCTTGCGAATGATTTCTTACAGTGTCATGATATATGTTTATTTTAAATTAAATCGGATTGATGAATACTTTCAAAGCAAACCTCAGAAACCAAACATTTAAAAACTTAACTGTCGCATTCGTTACTATGAAATGAAAATCGTCAAAATTTCTTATAATAACGAATTAAAATGATTATATTACAATGCTGCAATCATACCATAAAATATTTCGTATTTCTATGAATTTCAATTGACAAGCAAAAAATTTGGATAATTAAATTATTTTGTAAAATTTGAAATTTTTTTTGCGAACAAAGTTTGTTTGAATGCATCAATATTAAAGCTAAAATTGCAATTTTGCTGATAATTTAGAGATGGATATGATGAAAAAGACTATCATATCAATATACAGTGATAAAAGAGAAAGAAATAAGAGAAGATTGCTAAGAGCGTAAAGAGTAAAGTAGCAAATGATCATGAAGGGGCTGATAACAATAATTTGAAACAAACTGAATTTAAGCGAAAATCTTTTGACGAATGCCTCTATCAATCACATTCTGCACACTTTATATTAGTATTTAAGCTTCCAAACTGAAGGCTAATTGAGAATAGGAGGAGGAGGAGGAGGAGGAGGAAAAGGCTAAACTTCATCCTTTGCTTTCAATAATGCTAACAATCAATCAATCTAATCCATTAGATGTTACTGAACAGCTGTAGTCTATCTATACTGAAGTATCTTTGCTTCTCAGTTGGCAGTAAAATTTTGGCAAAAAAAATTTTATAAAGCAAACGATAATCATATACTTTAAAATAACCTTTGACTTGTAACACTTCGTGGCACATTTAAACTTGAAACAAAGGAACGAGTAAAAAGATCAACGAACAAATAGTAAAATTTCATTTAGTTAACGAATGACTTTATCATTCTTCAAATATGTATTCAAAGTGTAGCATTTAATGCTATAGTGAGGAAGAATAATCATCTTATCACTCCATTCCGTTTATAATTGATAGAAACTTAGACTTTTGGAATTTTGAATTCTTTGAATTGAACAACTGGATTACAAGAATCTAAATAGATAAGAAATGTGAAGACAAATTCCAAATTATGTTTCATTTTTTCACATAATATATTACATTTTACAGAATTGACCATATCCCATCTTCCTGAAATACCACCATTTAAAAAAAATATTTCTTTGTATTAATTTTTGTAATTTCTTTTATGTTAGAGAAATCATCTCTTCAACAAGAGTACAGAATCTAATAGATAAAGCAATAACTGTAATCAAATCTCCTGCAAGCACAAGACGATCAATCAACGATCCACAGAAATTGCTAATTCTCACTAAATCTGCTACCAAAGTTTCTGAATGAATTCAGTATGCAGTTCAAGTTCGAAAGCAGGCTTTTGGTAAACCAACTTTATTGGATACATTGAAAAGAAATTAGCAAATTAAAAACATATCATTGCAGGATAAACACACGCATTATCAAAAAATGTGAAATCTTTATAATACAGATTACGTATAGGCTTATTAAATTATTATAGTAAATTGGTAAAAGATGCTTTTGAAATATTCATAAAATCGAGTAAATGAGAATGAAGATGAAAAATTCTTAGAAATGCGAATATGTGAGGAGGACAGCTGTTAAATAAATTTTCTTTTAAAAAAAAATCTAAAAATTCAATAAGTTAATAAATACAATAAAATAACAAAATAATAACAACAGTTTTTAATTGTTTGGTACCAGCGGACGTTCACTATGAGAAATAAAGAAAACTTGAATTTTATTTACAATTATAAACAGACAGAACAAAATGTTTTAATTAATTAAAAATTTTTTCCGGCAATATGCGCTTTCATTTGTTTTTTGAATTTGCTATAGATTAATTGTTTAGAAACTCGACACCGATTGTCCAATCTTTTTAAATATTTCAACCAATGCAGTATAGGTTCCTGTTACTAAACCAATCAGTGCAAAAAGTAGTAAGGTCAAATCGATTATCCAAACTTTAAGGACTAATTTGCCTCGAGAATGCGAGACCTGAAACGTTGTTATTTTTAGTCAGTTTTAAATTTGTTAAATATAATACCACTGATTGAGGTAAATATCATGGACAATTTTTCTGATTTAATTTCTGATAAGTTTTTAATTCAATTTTAAAAAATTACAAGGAGATCGATGAAAGGTGGGAAGAGCAAAGCCATCGAAGATCCTGAGAAGGCTCCAATAAATGAGATAAATAACGCAAGGTGTGGGATGAGTTCTGCAATTGCACCTAAAAAAAGAAAAAAGTTGGTATCTTTACATGGATTTAGGGATCGATTAATTTAAAGTTTAAAAATTTTCGTAAGAAATTCATGTGATAAAGTATAAAGGGAATAAAAAATAAGCTGACATGTCAACAACACAATTCCATATCGCGCGAAGTAAATGTACACTGTTTGATTTTCAATTGGGATTTTTCTAGTCATCCATTTTTCGATTCGTTCCATTGGAATGAAAAATTGCAAGGGATATGATACCATTACACACATTGAAAAAATTAACTTAATACTTTGATACACTCTAAAAACAAAAATGGAATTTTTAAAAAACTTTCCAAATAAACAATATCGTGAATAACACTAGGAACTCATGAGAACTTTAATCTGTTTACAAATATAATTTTAAATGATTTAAGAAAATTGAAGAAGTAACTTACGGTTCATGTGGTACATTCAGAGTGACCGTATCGCTAACTTGATCACCAACAGCAAGGTAACCGTAAAATCCTATCACCGTAAATATAATCATTACAACCAAACATGAACAATTCAAAACTCCGTTCCATTTAATAAAATGCTGCGGATGAGTCATACGATTTTCCACCGGTAAAACCTATTAACAAAGAATATTCACATCTCAATTTGTCAAAATATTAACTGTTTTACGCTTTTATTGTATCCATTCTTTTCATATTACAACAATTGAGCAGTCATAAAGCAGAACATTTTATCTGCTTCAGTGAATAACAACAATAAAAGAGCGTAAAGAAAAAACCGACTGGTCGACAGATATTTTAGCGTATTACTTTGCCCGCATTTTCTATGTGTGAAATTAATTTCTACATTTATGTAGTAAAAATTTTACAACATACCACAGCAATTCCCTCAAAAGCGAACAAAACTGTTCCGAAATAAAGAGGAATGTTTTCAATTTGTCCAATAGCTGGGAAATTGGATGACGGTTTTAAATGAGTGAAGAAGAAATACAATAAGATAAATACCGCAGCTGTAAAAATGGACAATGTATTTCGATTTTAATGCCATATCAAAAACTACCAAGTCATTTCAAAGTAAGGAAAAAACTTTCATAATGATCTAAAATTCTGAATGAAAAACTTACACAAATATAAACAATTTGCGACAAGAGCGAATGGAGCTAGCTTGTTTAAATGACGAATCGAACAGATCGACAGTATAGGAATAAGAAATAACGCCATCCACACTGATCGCGGTAGATGAATCATCGTATTCATATCGAAAAACTTGAGGAAACATTTTATAAGAAAAAAAAGAGAAACGTTACAAATGTGTTAATGTAATTTTTAGAATTAGTTTATAAAGAAATAAGGCATACACTTTGGATGTTATCAGCCATGAACACAAAATATACACAGCAGAATCCAAGCTGAGCGCAAAACATATTAATATTTAATAACTGCCTGTAAAGGAATATTAAAAAGTTTTGAATATAAAACCTATGCATGAAAGGCATTATTTGAAATAACAAAATAACATATTTTAACGTTCAAAATAATGATTTATAACAGGGAAATTTACAACATACTTAAAAAAATATCCATGGATACTTATCCAAGTCGGTCCGCTTTCTACGGCACTCCGCATAACGTTGGCATAATCAATAACCTCTCTGCCGTTTCTATGAAATGAAACTTGATATGAAATCTAAGTTTTCTAATTTTCAACTTGATCAGAAATCCAAGCTAACACAAATTGTTGTACTTTCATCAAACAATCATAAATTCCTCCACATTCTGTCGCAAAATCCGAATATTTGTGGTAAAATTATTCACATGGATTGAAAATTATGTCATTAATGGTTAGTTTGAGAAAGCTGAACCTCACAATCTTGTCTTTGTTAAAATTTATTTCTCATAATATGATCTCTTTGTGTTATTATAATATTCTGAGAGATAGCTTTACCACGCATCTGTCATTGTTTTTTGTCTTTTACATGACAAACAATGTAACGAATCATACAATCCTCTCCTTTCCCGTGATCTACTATTCTGGTACCGTCCTCAATGTTGGATATATAAACATTCAAATATGGGTATCGGGGCTCTCCTTTTTGCATTCTTCCATGTCTTTCAACGGTGGTATGTTTATTCGTTCCTACCAGCCAATACCATCATATATTCTGCCTTCTGTTTCATCTGTTGAGGAATTTCTTCTATGGAATTATTGGATAAAATTCCTAACTATAAAATAAATCTAACAAATAATTTGTTTTTCAATCAACATCAACCAATCTACAATGCTTTCACAAAAACACCTCTTTGAAATTTGTTAACAAATTAATTTGAAAGTTGATTTTGCAAGACTTCTTGTAATAAATTGAATATATAAAAAAAAAGTAAAATCACCTTCGGCAGATGTAATGTGCAGCATAAACTACCAATCTCATACAGTATAGACATACACCACACAATATAACCATTAGCACCAAACCTAACTTAAAAACAATATAATTAAAGATAGTCGAAAATGTTGAAAAAGATAAAAAAGACCGCAGGAAACTTAATACGCTCTGAAATGAAAAATTATAAAATAATTGTGTTTAATTAGGGAAAGGATAATGAAGAAGCCTAAGAATTCACCCATAATCCAGCATGTTTAAAAGCGAGAGGTAATGAGAGTAATCCAGTGCCCAACATAGCTTTCATCATATGAGCGAATGCTTGTTCAGGACTCAGACTATTAGTATTTCTCGTTCGTTCCGCAAAAAGATATGTTTCTTCGTAATCAACATCTCCACCATTGTTCGGTGAAGCAATCACATTATTTCTTGCGCCTGTTACATTCCGCACCGTCTACAATCATCAATGCAATCTTCACAGCAATCTTAGTTTACTTCAAAATTGAATCAATCAATAAAATATTTTCATACTAAAATTACCTGAACTATTAAAATTTTAAATTATTTATTAATCTATGATTATTTAACTTCTAAACTATCATTTTCTAATTTTAAATTATTTTAATACATCATAATGAAAGCCTAAATAATGATATGATTTTTCCAGGTATAAATGAAAACAAAATTTACAGTTTGCTCCATTTGTAATTGAGAACCGGTGGAGAGAGACATTCCGGAAGAGAGTGCAAAGACTTTCACTTTCACAAAACACGCATCTCAAAGCCAGCCAGTAACAGAATTACCTTTCCAATCCAAGTCATATCTTCTTGTTCCCTCTTCTCGAACTCGGTGGAAGTTACTGAAATAAGCAGAGTGCCGGGAGGGCTCGATTGCTTCAAATAAACGGAGCCTCACAATTAGACGGTTTGAGCTATTCCGTTATTTTCCGAATTCATCCAAAGAAATAAAGAGAAATTAAACAACCCGGTACAATTCAATCATTATTTTCAGTCACTTAAAGATGAGTTTCAAAGGTTTTCAAAAAAATCATTTTAAATAGGTCTGGTAGCAGCTCAGAATGATAAAGCCGTTCATTTTCTAATTCCCTGAATTTTAAGCTTGAATAACTTTAATAATTAATCTTTTATTTATGTTTTAATTGCGCAATTATTGATAGAATTAAAATAGTTGAATTCAATACAATTCGTTAAAATAAAGCGAGATTTATCAACTATTCTTTTACGCCGTTTTTTTGTACATTCGCGAATTAGTCCGGTAAAATTTACAGAAATTTTGAAAACTTTAAATAAGCAAAAATATGTTTTATGTGTGACAATAGATTAGTTTATCATTTTCGATTAATTTTACAAGGAGAAAGAAGACACAATACAATTCAAATTGTAGCAGGCTTATCAATTCTTTAAATTGAAACTTGCATCTTCTCGAATTTCTCAAGTCTTTATGAATTCGCTTCCTGCAAAAATTCCTGAATGTCCTAATTTTTTGCTCTTGAAGTGAAAATTGAAACTAAAATCTAACGGATCAATTGTAAAACTTAAATTTTAGATACTCTACAATAGTTGAAAAAATTCGCTTTATTAATTCATTGCAAATATAGAAAGTAGCAGGAATATTTAGAAAAAAATAGAAAATTTGCAATTAATTTGAAATTATTGGAAATCATAAAAACTTGCAAAGTGATTTGTCTTCCTGATTCATTCCAAGCGAATATATAAATTTTGTAATTTAATTTATTCTCTTTTGCTAGGAAAAATTACTCATCTCAAATTCATGTACATTAATATATAGGCAGCCATTATGATTTATTTCTTCCCTAATTTAGACTAATTTACTTAAAATGCTACTTTTAAAATTTATACTTATGATAAAATTAGTGTTCGAAGGGAAAGAAAAATTATATAATTTATACGATTTGAGGAGTTCATCAATTAAAGCTAAAATCGGAACGGTTTAATTAAAGATTGAAAATCAAACGATCCCAAAAAATTATCAAAATTCCATTCCAAAATTTTATAAATTAATCATTCTCAGGAAGAAAGAAACCTTTATCAAATGATTGCACCAAATTATTTTAGAATTTCAACATGTTAAAAATGCTGAATTTTGCAGCTCTATGATGAGAAAATGAGACAATTTCTACTAAATTCCCGCACGATTGCATTTGTTTGTTTCGATGATTCCTGAAGAAAATGCTCTGAAAAATTTAATTTCAAATCTAAAGCTTTTTTTTGAATTTCAAGCAATCAAAAGTTATACAACACAATTATTTCGTCTCTTCCATTCATTGATTACTTTTTTGATATTCCCTTATTAGTTATATTAAGTACATATGTAACCGAAGAAATTACTTTAATGCCTTTTTTACTAGCATTTAATAAAAGAATTAAGAACTTGAAAGTTTGACGAGCGTATTCGGATCTTCATACAGTTTTTTTGTCCATGGCTTATTATTTAAAGCCCTGAGACACCATGAAATTTTTTATATTTTTATATTAAATTTCATTTTAATCAGTGGAATAATCTTAATCATTATTGCGAACCTCTTGTAGGATTTTTAAATATTAATTTTAAAAAAAATCAAATATTTTGTTACATTAATTTCTCTCTGCCATTGCTTTTGATAAAAACTTCACCAAATAAGATATATCTTTACTTGAAACTGTCTAACTTTACATAAATCTAAATTCATATTTGCTTGAAACAGTGGAAACAAGCCATAATAATGTGTTTAGCATAGCTATAAAATGCTGAACTAAATTAATTTGCAATGAAACAAAAATTGGTGGAAAATATTTAACGAAAAAAAATAACTTGAAGATATTATTTCAACATACAGTAATAAAACAAACGAAGACTTGCAATCAATTTTAGTGCGTTCATAAATAAATTAAAGTTTTTTAATTAAGAAAGAAGAAAAGTAATTTCATCAAAAAATTCCCAAAGTTTCTTTGTCCATTAAAAAATTTAAGTGTTACTTTTTAATAGTGATTGTAATAAAGATGCTGTATTCTGAACTGGAACGCATACATTTGTAAAATAAAATGCATTTTATAAATTTGAATATTCGTATTTTTATTGGAACGAAATTCAACAAGATTGAAATATGCCGCAAGCTGTTGATGGATTGAAATTTTCCAAAAAATTCATTAAAATTCAACATTTTTGCAAACTAATTATAACATTTGAACAAAGTGATTAAATTTATCATGCACATAGTTCCATTAATTGATGAATTATAGCCTCAGAATTTGAGATTTGTTGTCATCGTTAAGTAATACTACCTCTGAGGATAATTCACTTGATGACACACCACTGCTTGCCGATGATTCCTGAAAAATTAGAGAAATGAAACATTTACACTAATCCATCTAAATAAACCAAAATTTCAGCTGATAGTGATAATTTACTTTCAACTTTAAATTTTTAAGAAAGAACTTTTGCACTGTGAAGTCTTGCTTGTTTAAGCAAACCGGAAGATTACAAATCTCACCAATTAATTCTTCCCATCCCTTTCCAAATAAATTGAATTTTTTATATTGAAATTTGCTTAAATAAGACTGACCTGATCAACGGCTTGAATCGTTTTTTCAAGAAATGTACCACGGCCGGAAGTATCATTATCGTAATCACAGCCGGCAACTCCATCAGTAGTGGGCAATAAGCGCCGTCTGAGAACAACCAACCTGATTGGTTCACCAGCTGCTTCAGTGACCAATTTGGTGAACATTAATGGTGAGCGGAATGCTTGTCCCGGCAATTCATTAATTTCCAAAAAGCTGAAAATTTTATTTCTACTCAGCTATTAGTAATATATGAAAATAACAAAATTTACGAGGAAAAAAAAAAGTATTGCAGCGTACCAGTCTTGCTCTCTTAGCGGAATATTAGCACCGTTGACCTTTGTAACTTGCAAGCAACCAAACCTTCCCTCAGCTACAGTAATATCTCGAGTTGTTAATGGTGTCTCTAGTGCAACCACTTTATCGTAACTGGTTGATCGTACTAATTTGAATAGTGGTATCATAGGTTTACCTCTCTGTAAAAAACAAAAAAATTGATATTAACTGAGCAGAATTACAAGAGAACAGAACAATTTTATTAATACTTAATCTAGTAACCATTTAGTTTTTGACTGAATGGTACCTTAGACTTGGTACCATTGGTTTCGTTTAGCTCAGCTGATGAATTTGTTTGTCGTAATTTTAGTGCTCGTAGCTCGTGCAATATTTTATTTCGTGTCTCCTCCGTTGACACACCAAGTTGTTCTGTAATACAAAAAATAACATTTGTGAACTCGGAACTCGTATTCCGCATATTTTTGAACATGGAAAACATACTGCGCATATTTATGAACTCAAAACGCATACTGCATATTTGTGAACTCGATGCGCATTTCCGCGTAACACATTTAGAGAATATAAAGGAAAATGATTAATCATCAGATCTTCAAATAATAAAATAATTCGCTATAAAATAGAAACAAAAATATACTTTATCTATTATTTTTATCATCCCATCACTAAATAAAAATTATCAAAAAAAAATGAAAGTACACTCAGCTATAAGTTTTCAAGAATTGATAAAATAGCAGAGACAAAAAAAAAGAAAAAAAGTTAAAAAGAATTAAAAAGTGAACAGAAATGAGGAGGAAATGTACCGAGAATATTATTATCCCATCGTTCCACATCCCTTCCACTAATATCATAACCAATCATTATTGATGCCACATCATCCAATTTTAAATGTTGCAACCATAGCAGAACATCGTCTAAGCTCCATTCCTATTGAATATATATTTATGAAACTTATTTATATAAGAAATGTATATATTACCTATTTAATTAATTTTAATCAATTCTATATCTCTCTTATTCCCCATAAAATAAATCGAAAAAATCTTCTTAAAAAAAGGTTCACTATTAATTCAACAATTTCATTATAAAATCAATTCAGTATAAAAGCGAATAAATTTTTTCAGATCATTTAACGATATTATCTTTGCATCATTTTCTTTTTGTGTGTGAAAATTGTCATAATGATTTTTGAATTATTCGGCAAATGAAGGAAAAAAAGTTGATGGTATTCTTTTTAATTTTAAGATTTACTTCCATTTTAATTAATTCTAAAATTAAAAAGGAATATTTTTTTCCTTATTACTTGTAACAAAAATTACAATTAAACAATAATACATAATTATTTCAAAAAACGTACAGCTATTGGCTTTTTCTTCCATAATGCTGCTTGCTTCTTCTCGTGAGCACGACGAATGCGATTTTGTGCTCGACAAATTTCCATATTTTTTGATAAAATACCGTTACTATCAGCTATGCGTAAATCTGGACAGCTTTTTCGCAACATTGATCTGAAAATATTTTTCTAAATTTGAATCAACTTCTTCATACATTGTTATATATTTTCTTTTCATAATATCTGATACAAAGAATCATTTATTTTTTTTTTTTAAATAATTACTCACGACAAAAAAGAAAAAAAAAGAAACTTGATGTTAAAATTCAAATGTTGTTCGAGTATAAAATATTGATATTTATGATGAAAAAAAAAAGAAGAGAAAAAAAATTTAATTGATATTAAAATCTAAACGTTATTCGAGTATACTTTAAATGAGTAAGTAATATTTGGACTATTTTAATTTCATAAAAAGTACTGTTGTTGCGGATGATCGCTACTGGATGATGGACTTGATTCTGATATACTAATGCGATGTGTTGAATCCGCGTCAATCAATAAATGTGCTATAAATTAACACAATATTAATTAATAAGAGAAATTTATAGTCTCTTTTATATGAGGATTGAATATGGAAATATACCATATCTTTCTTTTAATTTTATGGACAAATCTGAAATTCAACAAATAAAATATATTGATAAAAGCAATCACAGAAACATGAAAACTACAGGAATCAAATGAAAATTTGAGTACCTTTTTTTACTGGTAATAAGATAAATTGTGAAAAATTTATTAAAAATTAGGAATCTTTCTATTATCTCAACTTTTCGACTTGATAAAAATTTTAACTGAGCGTGATCCAAAAACCAGCAAAAATCTATCTAATTTAAGCAGGGAAAGAGAAAGAGAGAGAAGAAGAGTTTTTCGAATCCTTTTGTGCCTTTAAAATAAGCTAACCATATTTTTCAAATTAAATAACATGTTGTTCAGCAAAAATAACAAACGATCAAGTTTTAAATATAACAGTTGTTGCTGTCTAATTTCACATTATCAATGTTGGTTATCAATTTTTAACCAACGAACATCAATTTATATATAACAAATTTTTTTGAGCTAATAAAGATTTCAAAAATTGACAATGATTGATGAAATTATAATTTCTGGAGAGAAAAAATTCGAAAAAAAAGGTTATAAAGAAAGTACTCACTCAATGACGGAGGCGATGTTGGAAAGCGTTCGTCTGTGAAGGATGAATTATTCGAAATATGCTTTGTAAGTTCAGATGAAGCTATTGATCGTAAGCCAGTATTTTTGTTAACAGTACGAGTATGAGTATTATTTGGGAAAACCTGAAATTCATAAGAAAAAGCTATCACTGATAGTTTTGAAACTAGCAAATATTAATCATATTTGACTTTTCTGTAAAAAGAATTAAATTCAAAAAAAGGCTTTTATGAAATATTTTTGAGCATAAATTCTTAAAAATTGCAACGAAAGAGAGAAATATTCACAAACAAAAGTGTTTTAGTATTGAGAAAAAGAGTGAAATAAATAAAGATGAAAATAATAATTACCTCAGCAACGGGACGATGCCATTGCCTTCGAATTGCTCCAACCGATTTAATACCACCAAAACGTCGCATCATTCCAAAGTGAGATTCATCTACAATAACATAATTTATCGAATTAATTAGTTGTAATTTAATGATTGTTTCGATAGAAAGAAAGATTACCTCCATAATAATA